TCTTTAGCAAGTGATATATTTCCTCCCCCTAACTGCGGAATACTGTCTCATCAAAATGACAATCTGCAAATCTTCCAGTAAAAACATCTCATGTCAAAGGTTTAAGATACCTAATAATTGAAGGTGAATTATACCCAACATAATTTCCTAGTTGACGTTGTGGACCCATCTTAATATGCTGCGGGGGTGCAATTGAGACATATACAATACAACCAAATGTTCGTAAGTGAGAAATATATGGTGGTTGACCAAGTACGAGTTGTATTAGATAATATTGATGGTAAGCAATTGGTTAGATACAAACTAAGGTTGCTGCATGTAATATTGCATGTCCCCAAGCAGAAATTGGTAACTTTGTTCTCATAAGTAAGGGTAGAGCAATTAACTGAAGTCTTTTGATGAGAGACTTGGCTAAACCATTTTGGGTATGGATGTAAGCAACTGGGTGCTCCACATCAATCCCAACAAACATGCAATAGTCATCAAATGTTTGAGATGTAAATTCAATGGCATTATAAAGACGAATTGTCTTGATTGGGTAATCTGTGAATTGTGCTCATAATCGGATTATTTAGGCAAGAAAACGAGCAAAAGCAACATTTAGAGTAGATAATAAAGAAACATGTGACCATCATGTTGAAATGTTAATTAAGACCATAAAATATTGAAATTGTCCACTTGATGGGTGTATAGGTCCACAAATATCTCCTTAAATTCTCGGTAGAAAAGTTGGGGATTCAACATTGACTTTTGTGGGAGATGGTCTAATAATCAAATTTTCTTGTGAACAAGCATTACATATGTAATCACTCTGTAAAAGAATCTTTTGGTTCTTTAGAGGATGTCCATATGATCTATTGATGATTCAACGCATTATTATTGACCTAGGGTGACCAAGTCGATCATGCCAAAGTACAAAAGTCTTTGGATTAGAGAGCTTCTAGCTCATCACAGTGTTTACTTCAATTGTTCTTATAGTTATACAGTACAACTCATAAGAAAAAGTAGGAAGTTTTTCTAATATAAGCTTCATGCTAGAAACAATTGAAGTAATATAAAGATATTCTCAATTATTACATAGTCTCAATATGAAATCCATTACAACATATATCTTTGAAACTTAGCAGGTTTCTTCTGGATCTGATTGAATATAAAGCGTCGTTGATATGAATTTTTGTTCCATTTGGTAACATGATAATAGCTCTTCCAGAGCCTTCAATTAGATTTGTAGAACCTGATATTGTATTTAATTAGTTTCAGCTAATGTTAAGTTTGAGAAAAATCTTTTATGTCGAAAGATTGTATGGGTTGTGCCACTGTCTACTAGACATGCATCTTCATCATTCATTTCAGAATTGAACAGTTGATAAATAAGATTCATTCCTCTTCATTCATAAAAAAAAAGTCACAATAAGCTTAAATTGAAATAAAACATAAAAAAAAAATAAAGGAAATTCATGGTTAACATCTTAGAAAGATAATATGATAAGAAAAATAACACTAATCGATGTGGAAATTCCCATCACCGATCAAATGATCAATTTTTCCATCAAGATCGGCAAAGAAATCAGAGACATCAAGGTGAGTTATGTCAACTAGATAGGGAACATCAATGCAAGTAAGATCCACTAGTTCACGATGATCAATGAAATTTGTTTATATCTTCTTTTCTTTTTCTATTATGGATGCCTGGTAAAGGTCCATCAAATGCTTGGGCATACGACAGGTACGTGATCAATGTCCTTTCGTACCTCACTTATGGCAAATTTATTCATAATTCTTGGCCGGTTTATTTAGCAAACCCTTCCCTTTGCATATTTGTTTGTCCACTTTTGATGGTGAGATGCATTGTTATGACCATAGTGTCGATTATTGTTTCAACCACGACCATGTTTCTTACCACGACTATGGTATGAGGGTGGCATTCACTTCAGGGAATGCTATAGAACCAATAGGGCGAGATTCATGATTTTTTATCAAAAGCTCGTTATTTTGTTCAACTACTAGAAAACATGATATCAAGTCAGAGTATTTAGTGAACCTGCGTTCTCTATATTGCTGATGCAGGAGCACATTAGAGGCATGTCTTTATCAGTAATTATTTTTCCACATAGTGTCAATTGTGAGTTGATTTTGAATAGTGCCGAATTATAATCGCTCACCTTTTTAAAATCTTGCAACCTTAGGTGTATCCATTCATGTCGAGCATTTTAAAGTATAACAGTCTTCTGGTGGTCATACCGTTCATTTAATTTATCCCAATGGACAAGTGGATCATTTTTCGTAAGATATTCGTCTTTAAATCCTTCATGAAGGTGATGATGAATAAATATCACTGCCTTTGCGCAATCTTGCAGGGATGCAGTATTTCCTATTTTGATAATATCACCAAGATTCATGGTTGTCAAGTGGATCTCAGCTTCAAGGACCCAAGAAAGATAGACGTTGTCCGAAATATTAAGAGCGATAATCTCAAGTTTTGTGAGGTTCGACTTGGTCTAAATTTGATAAAAAAATATTTAGAATTGAAAGAAAAAATAGTATAGATAATAATCTAAACATGTAAATATAAAAGATCCAATTTAGCATGAGTGAATAATTAGTAAATCAAAAACAAATTATCCATGTAATATTTTGTCAATGAAATATTTAATGAACTAATCTATCTATGATTGTAAACCATTATAGACAAAACTAAAAAATGACGAATAAATTATCAATGAACCTATAAAATTGATTATCAAAAAACTCTTCAAGAGCTTGGTCCATAAAATTAAAACAATGTCACACCAATGATAGTAAAACTACAATCAAAATAGACATAAGGAATGAACACAAAACGAATACAATATTGATTATAGTAGTAATACTTACCACCTACCGTAAAACTTAGATTTTCAATTCTGTATGACTTGAAACTAGATATTCCTTTTACGAGAGAAAGAACAAGAGAGATAGAGTCTCGTGCTGATAACGTGTTGTGAAAGTAAGAGAATTACATAGACTACAAAGAGAATACAGAGAATATATATATACTAGAGAAAGAACTTTTTAACTTGTGTATTTGTTAATGTGGCGAGGACATCCTTTTATAGGCCTCAAATCATAATGATTATCAAATACAATATTAACTCTTGGCAGAGATATAAAGTCAAATAATACCTATTAAATTGGTAGGTTAGAGTTCATCTATATCTATATAAAATATATTTATGACAGATTGGCTTATATGCTGTTATTTTATTTATTATGTTGAGATGGTGATAACATGCAGAGTATATTTGTGATGCCCCTAAACTGGGGGTCCTTTGTTAAACTATTGATTACTCATCAACCTATAGAAGTACCCGTTAACATTCCTTTTATCGAGATCGTAACCAACACAGAGTTTTGGCAGAGTCTCTCTTATATCTGACACTATCAAACACATAACTTGTATACATTTCAATCACTTGACTATTTCAAGGTTCAATATACATCAATTTGTCCGTAATATTACTCCATTTACATCCTTTAAACAAAAAGACTCAAGGTGTGAAGGCTTGGTAAAATTATGCATAAATTAGAGTATGTTCATTAAAGAAGTCTATAACAAATTAAACATTTTACTTTTTTTTAAATCAAATTTGAAGATAACCTAATACCTATAATAAAATAATGAAGCTAACCTAATACGTATGATAAAATAACGAAGATATAGTATCAAATTTGAATAACTTGATTTTATATTATAAGTATATTTAATTAGTATTAAAAAAAGAAAAAATATATGTTCTTTTTGCAATTCTTAAACTATTATCTATAAATTGCTGGAATTATACGGTATTTAATTTAATCATACTAAGATACATATTAATGTGTTGTTTGATAAAACTAAAAGTTAAATATTAAAAACTGAATGCTAAATTTTAAGTGGGTGTACGTGTGTGATTCGGTGTGTGTGTGTGTGTAGTGTGTGCGTGTGGGTGCATGTGATTTTATGTGTGTGTGTGAACCGGAGAAGATAGGAGAAAGAAAATATTGTGAAACATTTTAGGATGAAATTATCATATTGAAAAAATTATAAAAGATGCTTCTCTTGAGCACTTTCACATTTCAAAATTAAGTAAGAAATTTCATACTTAATATTTTAGTCTATGTTTAAGAAGTACTTAATATATTAAGAGATCTTAATTTTATCCAATGAACTTAATTAATAAGTAATAAAGACATTCATTATTAAATGATGAATTTATGTTAAAAAACACACTATAAGGTGATGTTTGATAAAATTAAAAACTTAATACTGAAAATTGAATGCTGAATTTTAAATGTTGAAAATTGAATTACAAATTATTTAAGATTCACTGAAATTTAAGTATTAAATTTAATCAAACTATTTGACAAATACAAGGAGTTAAAGTTTGAAAATTATTATTATTCTAATTTTGTCATTCTTTTTAATCATTTTATCTCAACTACCTTATTTCTATCACCACCATTTATAATGGCGATGGTGGTGGCGATACAATGATGTTGACGATGACAATACAATGATTGCAGTGGCGGTACAATAGTGGTGTCGACGCTACAATAGTGGTAACGGTGGCACAATAGTGGTGTTGGTGGATATTGAAACATTAAGAGTATAAAATGTATTGATGGTAGATTTGTCAATTACGAGGAAATTATATTTTTTTTAGTGACTAATATTTTGAGTATTAAGTGATAAGTAAGTAATTTGTTACGTAAAATTTTAATATATTTTTAAGAAGTGCTTAAAATATTAAAAAATATAAATTTTTTAATAAACAAATTTAATTAATTAAAGTATTTAAAATATTTAATTTTAAGTATTGAATGGTGTTTTTAATTTTGTGAAATTTATGAGTAGGAGATTTGATTGAGAGAAACAACAAAAAAATTCAATTAGTGATGGCCACACTCAAATAAAATGCACCGTCCCTGGCGACCGAGGTCGGGACAATAAAACTCCGATTTTCACATCGCCGTTGTTGTACCTCTGATTTCACTGTGGCCTAACATCGAACATAGAATGGACAGTGACGAAGAAGATTTCGTGTTTTATGGAACGCCGATCGACCGAGAAGAAGACATCACCCGTCGCAAGAAGAAGGCCGTCGCTGAGGCTTCAGGCCAATTGCGAACTCTTCCCCCTTGGAAACAAGAGGTTCTCTCTCTCTCTCTCTCTCTCTCTCTATCTATCTCTCTCGGTTAGATATTGGCATGTATATATGCAAACTTAAACTAAATTGAAGCTCTATGAATTTACTAGTATAAAAAGCCCTTTAATTTCATATTTATGCACTTCAATTGGGATCCGGATTTATCGTTAGATGTTCTTGTTTTGATGGCAATCGCGGGTTTAAATGGAGTAATTCCGCTGAATTTAATGAGAATTGGGTTTTGTGAGAGGTTTTGATGGTGTTTGGGCAACCAGTTAAAATTCAAGGTGGCTGCAATTGCTGTACTGACTGGACCTGTATAAAAAAAAGGGGGGAACGTCAAAACACGACTTCATTAATTGCTTTCACGAGAATGAGTTTTTCTGTGAGAGTGCTGTTCTGATTGACTTCATATTTACAAGTGAAAATATGTAACTTTTCAGGTTAGGGATGAAGAAGGGAGGAGAAGGTTTCATGGGGCATTTACTGGAGGATTTTCTGCTGGTTACTACAATTCTGCCGGCTCCAAAGAGGGTACATATCAAACTATGATATTAATCACTGGACTGTTTCATTTGCCTTTTGGCTTTTCTGAGGGTGGCATATATTTTTTGTTGTGGGAAACAATTGTGCAGGATGGACTCCACAGTCATTTACATCATCAAGGAAGAGCAAAGCTGAATTCAAACAACAAAGTATTTTTGACTTCTTGGATGATGATGAGAAAGCTGTATGTTCTATTTTATTGGCCTGCATTTCTTTTTACAAGTTTATGTAAATTTTTTTATTTGACGCATCGTAAAAATTGAAGTATTTTCTGTGGGATTTCATTTCATGAGTACCTAGTGCACGAATTGCTCCCACCACTGCATGGAGAGTAAAAATTATTTACCTTTTGTTGTTGGCATTTTATATAGTTGTATTCAATTGAGTCGTTTTGAGGAAAAATGTCTATAAACCATGGGAATCGGGATATGATTTAGAGTTCACTTTGCTCTTCACCGTGGAATCAAATATGGTCTAACAATGAGAGAGTCATCATATTTTCTTCTCTTATATTCTCAATATTTGCACATTCAGGAATTGGAGGACCAATCGTTGGGGACATCTATGCAGTTTGATACATTTGGATCTACTGCTGCTGAACTTGCACGCAAACAAGCTCAGAAGGAGCAACAACAAAGGTTTTATCTAGTGTTTAGCGTGCATATTACTTGATATGTGCAAATTTATTCCATAAAAATATTGGAGTGTTTTGTTACTTTGAATGATTTCATAAAAAAAATGGTTGTTGAATAAAAGGTTCTCCAATTCTTTGTTAATGTCTTCAGAATTTTTTTATTTACAATTCCCTTCTGGTTTGTCATATCCAAAGCATCTTATTTTGCTTGAATCTATTTGTGTATATCATACCACTTTCAGCCATAATTATTGTTGGAATTTCTTCGCCTGGAAATTTTTGTTACTTCCTCTGTTTTTGAATTAAAGGTCAATTAATTCTTGTTGGTTCTTCAAGTTCATCTCTGATGTGACATAAAAGTGTTCTGTATACGTGTTGAGATTGAATTTACATTTTGAACATTAAATTGTCATGGAAAATGTCGTACTTTCTTGTGTAGATTTAATTTTCATGTGAAATTGTTATTGCATTAACTTGGGGGATTAGAAAAACACCATATTTTGGCCTTCTTTTTTAAAAAAATTCTTGCATTCAAAAACAAGTTGTATTGTAACCAATGTTTATTAGTTTTTCTCAACTATTCATATTTCATTGTCCTATTGTAAACATGCCTATTGTGTATGAATTTGGAGCCTTACAACCTCTGTTGTATATCCATGCCCTGAATGTATTCCTAGGTCTTGTGCATGAGATAAATTACAATCAATTTTTCCAAATGCAGAGACCTAAAGTCATCAATAATGCATAAAATAACAATAATGGAATAAGACTACAGTTGTTCAAATCACCAGATAATATAAAATTGCAGAAACAATTAATAATTGACAATCTCTAATTGTTCTACTTATCACATCTTATACTGTCTTTTATTTTGAAATGCAACTACGATGGTAATGGGGGTGACTTGATAGCCCCGTAAATAGATTAAAACACAAGAACTGATGTGATAATTTAGCGCGCTTGCATCCACCACCCTTCCCGTTGTAGTACCTGAGTGCATGAGTAAATGACATGGCATGGCTAAACTAATAGAAATGGAGATGCAATCAGGAATCACTTCTTCAATCTCATCAAAATCGAACTTCGTTCCACCACTTGATCCTTTGGATCAACTCAATTTCTTGTCATTTTTCTGCTTGTCCACACTCAATTTTTCTCGGTATTCACTCTGTCCTTAAGAGTATTGCTGAACACAAGATTGATTTTTGTATTTCTGCTCTCTTTTGTGTCCCACTTCACTCACTCGCTCTCCTCTCCCTCTCTCTCTCTTTAATATTTCAGACTTCTCTTTTTCTTCTTCTTTATTTTTTCCCTCTCTGTTCTGTTTTCTCAGCTGCCACACTCATTGTCTCAAACCTAATGATCTTATGAGCAATACATTTTAGTCATTCTAATAAACATATAATCAGCTATATAAGGACATGCAAAGCAACACCCAATCTCATCCATAACCTACTCTAAAATCTCTCCATCTTTATTGCTTTGCAGGTTTTTCTTTCCTTTTTTTTGGTATGGGATATCTCAGTATCTGACGATTTGTTTTTGAATCTGGGTCATGTTATTTCCTGTCACTGTGGGCTGTTCATGAAGGTGTATTCTCGTTTATTTGCAGGCCATCAGTCATACCCGGACCTGTTCCCGATGAAATAATTCTTCCAGCCACAGATTCTATTGGTTTGTTTCAGTTGTCCTATATAAATTTTGTCCCGGTTTCAGCTGTTATGATTTATGTTTTAGTACCTTATGCTATTTTGAACAGGTGTCAAATTACTGCTGAAGATGGGATGGCGGCACGGTCATTCTATAAAGAATGGACATACTAATTCTCTGTATGGTATGTTTTCCTGATATTCTTTCTGATTATCATTGTATTTTTTTTATATTTAAGAACCCTTCTGGCTTGTGTTGATCAGCTGTGCATCTCTGGCAAGTAATTGAGGATATAAGTTTCTAAAATCTAATTTTTAACTGCCGTCAAGTGCATTATTTAAATAGAGGGATGATTCAGAACACACTCTCAAATTCATCGTGAGAGAGAGAGAGAGGAACTCAAATTTCAATTGAAATCTATTACATAACAGCCGTAAGCCTTGTGTTTATAGGCTTCTTGAAACAATCCCTATATGGGGGACTAAAATTATCTAAATCACAAAACAATCATCTACCTCAAATTAAGAGAATAGATTGTGTTGAAGTATAAATACTTAAGTTACACCCTATTCAACAACTTAAACTTTTGAAGTAGATGGTTGTTCAACATGGAGTCAGAGTAAGAGGTCCTATATTTAAACCTCGTTGCCACATTATTAAAATTTTTTTTACGTGTTAGGCCCAAAATCTAGTTTGCATGTGGGGGGAGTGTTCAAGTATAAATACTTAAGTTATACCCTCTCTACCAGATTAAGCTTTTGGAGTAGATGGTTGTTCAACATATTAGCTTGTGAAATTTATTCTTAAACTTGGGTTTGCACCTGAGCTTGTAGTAAATGTGAATCTAGTTTTTTGACCCATCACAATCCCCATCTAGGGGTCAACTCTTTAGCTTGTTCCGCTTGGTTTCTTTCTAAACGTAACTAGGTCAACACTTGAATGGGCATTTTATTGTCCACGAAAAGATTCATGTTGATGAACTGAATGCCATGCGGAATTTTCTGCCCAAGCTTGAGTCTTGGATACTTTTAAACTGTAACTTGACTTTTTTCTGCATATTTTCCATGTGGTTAGACGAGGCAATGGTATATGTGATATGTGCAATGTCATAGGGCAGGCATTGCCTGTTGATTTTAGGATGAACTTACTCTGCAGTCTGCACAGGTGTTCTATGCACAAATTTGACACAAACTGTGTACCTTTTTTAGTTAGGTTAGTTAGGGGATATTCTTTGTCAACCTTCAGTTACTAGTCTCGATGGCCTGTGTTTGAATAGCCAACAGGAGTAAGGGATCCTGCATCCTACAAGTTTCAACAACATTCATGAAATTGGTTGATGGTTGTGTAGTTATCTTTGCAGTGGGTCATGTACACATGCTGTTTTCCCACAGTTGGTTGTACATGAAACAGGGATGGATATGTGAAACATTTTTAAAGAGAGAGATTATTTTGACATGGGGATTAAAATTGGGAACTATTTAGTGAAGGAATACAAAATCAAGCTATACTCTTCGGTGGAAACAATTTTCGTGATTTGTTAAACGTGATCATAAAATGTAATAAGCCAGGATTAGAGGAAGTATGATAGAGATAAATACCTTTGTACTAATTACGAGAAATTTGTTTCTTTTCATTTAAAATTGCTAAGCTTGTGATATCGGCTGCTTGGTTTTCCTGAAATTTTTTGGGGGCATTTCTATAATAATTTCCAAGAAAATTGCTAGGAGAGTCCAACTGCTTGGAAAATGAATCTCTTGGCTCAAACTAGGTCATTTTCTTTCTTTCTTTGGATTTTTTGTTCCTGCCTTTTACATTATTAGTGGTGACGATGCGCATGTTATTAACTGAACATTATGAGATATTTGTCTATAAGGACTTTCTTTATTGGGATGTTTGGTGTTAAAGTAACATGTCTTATGTTTCTTTATAAGTGTTCTCTTTATTGGTTTAACTGGTTCGTGAAGTAACACATTTTCTCATCTTTGTTGTTATAACACAGATGCCCGTAGAGAAGCTAGAAAGGCTTTCCTTGCTCTTTCCTCTGATGATACAAAAGCTCAGACTGCTGAATGTGACCTTGGTGAAGGTGACACTGAAATAGTGACAGAAATACCTACTGGTGATGACAATCAGTTTTCTAAAAACACGTCGGTGCGCCCACCACCTTGTTTTACCTTAATTTCACATTGAGTTCTAATCAAATTGCATTTTTCTTGATGATTATTGTTTTAGTGAAATTCTTTTCCCACATTAAGATGTGGTACTACTTAATACTTTTAGGAATTTATATATCTTCCTTTCATTTTGGCTTTGTAAGAATCGTTTTTCCTAGCCCCTCTCTCTCTCTCTCTTGCGTGTTTTTTTTTTCTCTCCTTTTTGTCTGGGGTTAGATTACTCCTCAAGGTCATTAACACTCCTTGCGGTGCTATGGAGTTAATTTTTAGTTCCATAGTGAGTGTCTTGCTTTTTATATTTGTTTTTGCCTAATCTTGTATGTGCCAAAAAAGTGCAATTACTAGCTTTTCTTCTTTCGCATGCTACTTTCAAGTAACGAATATATTCCTTCTGAAGAATTTTCAATAGGAAAAAAAACCGAAGATAGGAAATGATAAAAGAACTGAAGCACAAAAATATATGGTTTGGCCAGATGGCTACATCCATGGACCAAATGCTTAGATGGCCTACATATATTAACATTGATTCTTGTTTGTGGTATATATGAACTAGTCATAACTCGTATCTGAAGACACGATAAAATATAAAATTCAAGCATCTAAAAAATTGATCCCACTATATTAAATTTTTTTAAAATATATTAATTACAAATTAATTAAATATTAAATAATTAAATATATGATAGAAATGAGTGGTGTTATATTTTTAGGGAGAAAATATATAAATAATTAAATATGTGATAGAAATGAGTGATGTGATTTGATGTTTGAGTCTGACAAAGGGATAATGGGTGAGGTAAGTGATTGGTGATAGTTTTGAGGGAAAAAATATGATTGAGATAAAATTCAAACACACACCTGTTTTATTATATAGATAGTGCTCATTTATATGAGACGAAATGCAAACAAATCTCACACTCTTAAGAGTTGAGATAAATGCATATCTCTCAACCGTAGGGATTGGGATAAACAAGAATTCGAAAATGGATCTTATCTTCAACACTCCCCTTTAGACTGTGTACAGAAATGTAAAGTTAAGTGTCCAACTTGAACTTCCCCTTTTTTTTTATAAGAAACAAAATTTTCATTGATATTTAAAGTTTATATTGTTTAGGCAAAGATGACTCCAACCCTATTACATTCAGAATATGAAAATAAAAGAAACCACCAAGTGTTAAAATTTATCTTCCACAAGATGTAATCCAATTTGATGTAATGGAAAACAGAAGGATATTCCCAAACTCCTTCGTTGCGGAGGCTCAAAAAGATGCTAGGAAATAAATTCGATCCCACATACCTTTCTTCACATCCTCTTTATTTTCAAAAAATTGTAGAATTATTTTTTAGCCAAATGACTCAAGCAATCACAAAGAAAGCTCAATTCCAAAGAATAACATCCCAGCACCCAAACTTTTTGTACTTTACCGAAAACATGGAGGATATAGATTGGGAGGCTACCCAACCAAACCCTACCAACTCAAATAATTTGTTCCAAAGTAATAATGTGGTAAGAATAATATAAAAATAAATGGTCCATTCACTTCTTCTTCTACACATAACACACCATTGTGGACAAAGATTAGTATAAGACCTCCTCTTTGTAGCACATCATAAGTTTTCATCTGTCTATGAGCAATCACCCATGCATAAATTTGCACTCTCAAAGGCACCTTAAACTTCTAAATCTTCAATGTTGGATAAAAAAGAAGAATTGAATCATCAATCAAAGATTCAGAGAATGATTTACATGAGAAAGAACCTGATAGGTCAATGACTCAACATCTTTTGTCCAAAGAGTCTTGGTCAAAGTGATTGAACGATAGAATGAAATGGTTGATAGAATTGCAACTTCATTGAAGTTGTTAGAGTTACTATGGTTGAAATAGCTCGGACATTGTGTGGAGTTTTCTGGGAGTGCGGCTAAATAGTCTTGCCAAGATTTGCGATTATCTACATAAAACTCTACATAAATGACAATAGATTCACAGAATAACGATATGAAAATATGAAAGGCTAAAACATGTGAATGGAATGAAAATTGTTTAAACACAAGAGGCACCGGATAAACGTCATGCAAATTTCAAATAAAGGTGTGCACATGGAATGAACAAAATTTAAATGCATGAAAGGAATAATGCAATGAATGATACTTATTGGTAATCTGGGTTGGAAGGAATGTTCTATTTTCAATCATATGGAGTGATTGGACAACATAGCAGAAATTGGACTGGATAATTAATTGGGTTGGATCATTGTGTGTGAAGTGGCTTTTATTTTAACCTTTTTGGAAAAAGAAAAAGTAGCTGTGGGAGTTACACGCAGTATATTTTTACCTTCAATCATGGCTGATTGTATAGGCAAGTGCATATTGATTCAATGTAATCCAGCACATATGTAGTCGATTCTGCCAACCCTAGAAGATTGGGACGAAACATTCGTAATAATTTCCTTGAATATTAGCTATTTACTACTCTAAAAGTTCTCATATGGAAGTACTACTCTAAATATAACTGTCAAAAGCAGTTCTGTGTTAGTTGGAGTTGTAAAGTAGACAAATTTGGGACTTTCTGTTCCTTGATCCTTAGATCTTGAAATGGCGAAGTTGATTTTTCTGCTAAATGATCAGCTACTTTCCTTGATGTATTGAGACTTTTGGCACCTTTCAGTATCTTGTATGGTTTGAGTCTTCCTATTACCTTCTGTCTAGTCTCTCATATTGTGAGTTTCGTATTCTTGCCTATCTGCTTTCAGATGTCGATGATTTCTATTATTCTTGTAAAGAAACATACTTTCTATAATCTTGATCATATATAACCTGTAAATTGCTGAAAATGAACCGCTGGTGAATCAGGTCTCATCTTCTTTGAAAACAAACTGTTAACTTCTATTACTTCTTCAATTTTTGAAGCTTGATAATCCCGTTCTACTGGTAAAATTGGTAGTTTTGGTAGTGGAGGTAACTGACTTGGATGTGGTATGTTCTGGGTGATATCTTAGATCATGATTTTGTGGAGAAAGTTCTCTGGGGTGGTTTTCAGCTGCTAAATTCTGTTGGGAGTTGCATGTTGAACAACACACCTGCTTATTGCTTCAAGAGAAAACAAGAAGACGGAATACACAATAATTCTCTTGGTTATTTTGTTCACTGACTAGAGAATAATTTTCCTTTGTTATTTATGGTCAATTCATTTAGTTATTTAAAGCTCTAAGTGATTGTCAAAATTGTTCATTTTGATGGCTGAGATGTGGACCCTGTGTCTTATTTATTTATTTTTTTGTCTCCCTTTAGGTTTATGTTCTCAATCCAAAACAGGATTTGAATGGTTTAGGCTATGATCCTTACAAGCATGCTCCTGAATTTAGGGGTATGTAATTTCTTGGTCTAAGCCAACTAATTGCTTTCTAACTTGGCATTTGGCAGCTTTAAAAAGCTTAACAGTTTGTTTTATATTCAGAAAAGAAAAGATCACGCTTATCTGGGGAGAGGGAGCTGGGGCGTAAAAAGCCTTTCTCTATGAAAGATACTCTTTTTGGTTTCACGTGTAAGAGTTATTATTCATAAACTGCTTCACATTTCCTTTTTGTTTTTAATTTATATCTCCATTTGTCCTTTAGTTGCATCTATGTGCTTGAATGGCTTTCTTATCTTGAAATTGGGTTTTGTAATAACTTGGCTTGATTTCATCAGCAGGAAGGGTTGCTCCTGGTTTCGGTGTTGGGGCCCTCGAAGATCTTGATGCTGAAGATGAGGATGTATATGCCTCAGGTTAGTGTCCTCTCCCCAACAGTAGCTTAGCTTGATTTGAAACTAAGATTAGCAGTTTCCATCTTACACTACGCACACTTGTAGCACTTGTATACTATGCACACTTGTATAGGTTTACAAAATGACAGGCATGGGGTTATGCTTGCCTCAGTAATATTGGATGCTTCTGGGAGTTTTTTTTTTTTATTCTATTTTTTTGGCCCATGGGTTGGGGCTGGAGTTTGGATGGTGGGTGTTAAGAAGTTAAGTCATTAAAAGTCAAAGGGCTGTGGGTGATGATGAACAATTGAGTGGCCTATGGTTATGTTGTTTCTTTATGTTATAAACTTATAAATAGGGCTTTCGTATATTGTAATGTCCCATTAACATACACACTTTTTTGGCCAATTTATGTGTTATAACCTTGCCAGCGCATCACTAGCAAACTGTTATGCCTGTAAATATGAAATTTGAACTGTTATGCTTTATGTGGATGAATAGTTTCTCATAAGACTAGCTTTTGATGATGTTCTATGTTATCTTAAGTGAAGTTTCCATTCATTTGTTTTTGTTTGAATGAATTTTTGGCATGATGGTGTAATGCCCTAACCAAATTCCATTCTGTTCAGAGCACTAAATAATATCAATTAGGGAAATCAAATTCTCATTAAGACTGTACACATTCCAGATCCATAACTTGTACAACAATAAGATTAAATCTGTAAATATTACAGAATTGGATCAATTGAATCCTTGCACCACTGCTCTGACAATTGTGACATTTCTTAATTTCTTTATTTCTTCCAATCCAGAAGAAATCTGGAACCGGGAGATAATGGATGGTGAGATGGGAAGCCTAGTAAGACAGAGATAAATCCACTATGACAAGAGTACAAATAATCGAGTACTTATCTCAGCAAAGGTGATAGAAAAATTACATATTCATGACTCAATCACAAATCAGATGACTTGAGAGACCTAGGCGTAGATCTGACACCTCGTCAATCACTCTACGTTAATCCAATTCGACGGTTCTTTTGGACTGGTGATGCATTAGATTTTTGACTACCATAATCCAGTCATCAATCCACTCAAGACATTCAAATGGGATTTCAAAATTATAATTAAATTGATAGGAGTACAAATCAAGAAGATTTACGGAATTACTCTTTGAAACGAGATTTAGGAGCATGCTGTGAATCAACCCATTAACTCAATCCTCAATTCATACTGACAAATATCAACTTCATGATACCAAAAATGATACTTTTTCATCAAAAGTCAGACAGGGCCTTAGATCTCCAACCAATTATCACCTCAAAGCTCACAACTTCTCTTTTTTTATTTTTTTTTATTTTCTCTTTCAGGTTCTCTCTTTATTTGTGTTTTTCCTCCTCTTCATTTATCTTATCATATTTACCATAAGACACACTTTCCAATTTGATACTTATGAACCAGTGTTCATTTTTTTAATTTAAAGCTTTGTCTTTATCTAACATTATTTACACATCTCTAATAATAGCAGAATGAATATTAAATCAAAAGCCTTTTGAACTTAACACGTGTGAAGTGGCTCATCAAATTTTGTGTGTATGTGTGTTTTCTTTACAAAAACTGTGTAAGACATCTGAAGTGCAAAATGATAGTACTAACTTTTTTCTCTGCTAACTATTACTTGGCTTTTTCTGTATTTGTTGTTGTGTTATTGGGTGAACAATCCTGCGAGATGCACCAGTCTAGTTATTCAACTAGATGGGTTGACATCCTTTTGTCCTTTTGTTGAGTTATTTTTTGGTAATATTTTCTTCTGGGGGTTAAGGAGGAGGGATTTAGCTGTTTCTTTGCCACCTCTTAATTGAATTTTTTGTTTTAGTCTATGACTTCGAAGACACATATGTTCAAGAAATTGAAGAGACTTCAGTATTGACCATAGACAACAAGAAGTCTATTGTAAAGGAACATGGTGATCTGCCTGGGTTCAAAGTTGCAGCAAACTCTGACTACCAGTTGGCAAGGTGATTGTTTATATTACTTATTTTTCTATGGTTCTACAATTTGGCTCAATATATATTGGACTTTTTCTACATCCAAACCAGTTGAATAATATACTATATTTTACCACTTACCATTGAGTATGTTTTCTTTTTGAACTTGGAAGTAATGCGAACATTTGGAAGTTTTTCTATGGTCTTGTATATAATCAATCATTTTTGAGACTCACTAGGGCATAATTCATTTGCACACGTATTCTCAACTCAAGTCAACAAAATTTTGATCAAACGATCTGAGTTCGACTATGCAAATCAAGTTCCTGCATTGTGTTTTATCAAAGGTTATATTTTCAGTTAAATCAGTAGCTAACATATCATTTCTCGCTATTATTTCAAAATTTATTTAGTATAGTTGTGCCCCTTCAATTACTCTCAATGGGTACCATATCACTCTTCCTTCTTGTTGTAGTAATAATTCCCATATACGAATGTCCAAATCAATTAAGTCGAATCTCTCTTACTTTATTTCTTCTTAGTGCTACTTATTGTTGTACGAATATACTTGTTTCTAATTGTATCATTTCTAGTTTTACATCATCTTCATTTTTACCATACTTAAGGTGCGTTTGGTAATGTTTTTTATTTTATGTTTTTTTTTTTTTATAAAAAAAGAAACAAGAACTAATTTTTGTTTTTTTTTTTTCTGTGATAAAAATTAAAAATATAAAACATGTTTCGTAGTCATTTATATTTAAAAAATTGTGAAAACAAAAATAAAAAATTGGTTTGCTATTATACCAAAAATTCACTACCCAAACCCCACCACCCAACCCCACTGACCACCCAAAACCACGACCTAACCCCAAATTCCACCACTGAAACCCACCCCCACCACCACCACAACCCTCGAAACCCACCCCCAACCCTACCACCGAAGCCCACTCCTAACCCTACCTCTGATGATTTGAGCCCCTTCGCATGCTTTGTGAGAGAGAGAGAGAAGAGAGGAGATGAGGAGAGAGTTGGCCTTTTATACGATGAGGGAAAAAGATAGATTTATTTGTTGGTAATGAGATTCGAAGTCCAGACTTCATTAAATGGTCTCCTTCCTTCCACCTGTTTTGTTTTTTGGATGTTTTCAAAATGGGTCTGCAAAAAAAAAACATTAATCAAACATATTTTTATTTTCATTTGTCCCAAAAAATGAAAACAAAAACAAAAAATAAAAATAAAAACACAAGGTTTCCAAACGGCACATTAGTTTTTGAGCATTTGTAACTTTTAACTACCCAAATTTTTACATTATAAAGTATTGCTCATCTAGTGGCTCTCATGTAGAACTTGCATTTCAACTTATGCGCCAATCACTTGATGCTCCAATGTGTGACCTTCTTTAATTATACTATTACCGATATCTGCAATTGCCCTCTCCGTGTGGCTTGGTTTTTCATTCTTTGGTGTCTTCTTATTTGAATGTCTACTTTTACTAACATTACATTCTACATAATTTTATTTCTACTTATCTTAAATCCTTCTGCAAAGCATCTCTCCAAATTTCTAATTTATTGTTATCTCTTTTTTTTTTTATCATCAACGTTATAGCAACAATAAAGAAGATACACCATAAAACCTAATCAATTTGTTTAAGCAATTCTTCTGTAACCAAAGCTCAAAGATATAGACTTAAAATTGTTTAAGTTATTCACCAGTCTTCTCTGCAATTGTTCTGACGAAAGTTACTGCACATTCTTACATGCCTTAATCATATCAAGATACCCATTTTTTATCTTTTCTCATTTTTCTGATCAGCATAACTCTTCTATTCTCTAAAATTCAATACCATAGTATATCCAAGGAACACCATCAAAAGTTTTCTCTAAGTCTTTATGTTTGCTAATTTATTTTTCCCTCTATACCTCTCTATGAGACCATGACTCTCCTACGTAAGTATATAAGTTCCATTGTTGGCATTCCAAACATAAGTCCGAATTGATTCTTCATTACTTTTGTTTCAAATCTTAATAGTAGTTGTCCATCACTCTGTCATAACTTCCATTTAATGACTCATTAATTAAAGTATTCTTCCTTGATTCATCTGACATTTTTTAAGTTGTTATGATCCACCAAATGTAAAACCATCTCAAAAGCCAAAAAATGAGGAGGACATTCGATGCTTTAGCCTCGAAGTTGGCAGCTCCACCTCATGAAATTCAAGCTGACATCTCTCTTTCAGAATACTCATTGCACACGCATCAGGCGCTTGCCTCACAGTTCTCTATTTCTTTCTATCTGTAAGTGAAACCTTCTAGTCTCCGTGCATGGGGGTAGCTCAAACAATGCTGATTCTGTCTGGTTTGAATTCAGAGACAACCATCCTGCTTTCTACTCCAGGAATGGCACTAGGTGAGGGCCTGACTAGCCCGATGCTCTAGTGTAGCCAGATCCTCTGCCTATAAGGGTTTGGAGCAGCTCCACATCAAATTTGAGATTACACAACTCTTTCCAAATGCCCATTACAGGTGCAGCAGGTTGCTTACATCGTGGGTCTGAATTTCTTTGTAACTATAGTCTTGTTCACACAAGGCAACTTCGCCTGTCGGGCAATGAAGCCATAAATGCTTACAGACTCTTCGCATCCTTGCAAAATTCTTTGCATCCTTGTACATCACTGATTGTTAGTTCTTTAAAAACTGGTCTGAGTTGAATTTGTGCTACTTTTACTTCTATGCAATAGCATTGGAAAAGTTGGCTTAGCATTGAGGTAGTACACTTTTATGGATTATTGCAATTTATTTTTAAATTGTTTTTGTATCTAATGAAACCAAAACTTCCAAACATATGCAGAGATGAAAACTTGATGCAAATTATTTTGATGAACTAACATTCGATGTCATTCGAATCTTCAAAAGTATGTACTTATCTTTTACTGTTTGTCTTTCAGTATAAAACATTGAGTGTATCTTCTTAAGCATTTGTTTTGACCAATGTTTGGACGGTACGCAAATTTCAAGCTGAGTAAAACATACTGTTTGACAACTTTTCTTGCTGGTACATTTTGGAGAACAACTGCAGATGATTCCGGTTTCAATTAAAATAAAGTAACACTCAACAGTCTCAACTTATGTATCATTTACGTAGGGGTGCAACTTAGGCGTATTAACCAGAATACAAACTGATGGATTTAGTCCTTTGGTAGAAATTTCTAATACTAAGATTGGGTTTGGACAAAATTGTTCTACCCCTCTTTCAATTCGGCTAATTAATAATCTTGTTGGAGTTTAGGTTACTCAGGACCCATGCTGAACCCAAAACGAATTAGTGGATTCAGGTTCAACCTGTTTGAACCTGAATTGTAGCCTGAGTTGTGTAACCTGAGAATCAAAAGCTGGATTTTAGACTGAATTAGGTAACCCAAGGTTAAACCAGTGTTGAATCCGAATTTCAATTCGTTGCTTAATCCGACTTCTAAAATTTAAATATCACCAATATTTGGTTTGTAGGGTTTAGGTTGAATTCGGATTTGGGTTAAACTCACATTGAAGGTTTTATAAGTTAGGTTGAGGATGGGCTGACCTCTCAATCCGCCCAACCCATTTGAGTTACTCCTCTGATTTTAGGGTCCTAATACAACTCTATATTGTAAATTTTTTCCAGATTTGATCCTCCAGCTATACCAAAGACTTTTTTACCCCATCATAAGTTTCCTGCTTCTCTTGAGATTGAGAACTATTTTGCCAGTGCTCCTCCCCCAGAGGTTCCTCCTCCAGATGATAGCAATTTGAAAGTTTTGATTGAAGGGGTTGCAACATTGGTTGCTCGATGTGGTAAGTTATTTGAGGATCTCTCCAAAGAAAAGAATCAGTCCAATCCGTTATTTTCCTTCCTTACTGGAGGAAATGGCCATGATTATTATACAATGAAGCTCTGGGAGGAGCGACGGAAGCATAAGGATCAAACCAAACAGAAATTGGATGGGAAAATGTCACCACGTGTGCAGAAGATGACAGCAGAGAGCCGTGGCAAAATTTTAGCAGAAAAACCTCTTGAGAGGACCACCAGAGATACCAGCTCACCTGTTACCTCTGCAGATACTGTTAATCTGCAATTCAATCTGTCAGATACATTCACCAAACCTGAAACTTTGGTGAGTAGAATATTTTTTTTCTTATTTTTCTGCAACATTTGGCATGAAATTTTTCTCCCTCTGTTAGTAACGTGGTTAAATATCCAGCTTGCATGTTGTTTAATTTAACACTGAAGCCCGGATTATTTTCTGTTCTCTTCAATTTCTCATTAAAACTAGACTGCACCCATCGAAGTTGCAAAACCTTTCCGAGATGATCCTGCAAAGCAACAGAGGTTCGAGCAGTTCCTGAAGGAGAAGTATCATGGAGGGCTCCGCTCTAGGGATTCAGGTGGCGCAGGTAGCATGTCCGAAGCTGCTCGTGCTCGTGAGAGATTAGAGTTTGAAGCTGCAGCTGAGGCAGTAGAGAAGGGACAATGGAGAAACGAAAAAAATAATCCCCATCAGCAGCTTTTGGAGTTATCATCTACTTCAGGATTGCAGTTTACTTCTGGCGGATTAGAGGTATTTACCATGAAGTGTAATTTTTGATTCAAAGGCTGCAGATATAGATTCTGTTTGTTAACTCATAAATTTGAACACAGCAAGTCAAAGTTAGTCAACCTGAAGATTCAGTAATGAGGAAGATGAATCCAAAGAGGGAAGAATTTCAGTGGCGACCTTCACCGATTCTGTGCAAGCGCTTTGATATTATTGACCCTTATATGGGAAAGGTACCCTTAATGGTTTTGTCTCAAGCAGCCAAACTATTGGTCGTTCGGTTGGGATGTTGGAAAATTTGTTAATTGTATCAACACGTCCAGCACTCAATTTCCCAATGACCAAATTGTGTGGAACAATGTTTAGAGAAAGAAAATTAATTTTAGGTTATTTTACATCTTGTTATTCATTTATAATGGTGGTGTCTATATGTTTCTATTGATGCTTATTTTGGCACTGTACAATACTGTACTTTCCTTATTTACTCTAGAGGATATCAATTTGCAAGGTAAGAAGATCTATGCTTTGGTACTTCCTGTTTTCAAAGCATGTACCCACAAAAACAATGACTATTTTTAAAGCCTGAGCATGACCCTATTAAATTACGGCATTTTTTTTTCTTTTTTTTTTTTGCTTTCCCTTTTTATTTGTTTCTTGCTGCAAAATATATGTTGAAACTTAACAATATTTGGTACTACATGTCGATGGCATGCAAATGGTAGATGGTAGTTAAAGTTGAGTGGTTGATACCAATGTGTTTAGCAATAAATAAGTGAAGTTATGTCCATGAAAGTCACCTTGCCATATCACCGTAAAGTTACACCCCCTCCACTCCACCTAAGAGAGGAGGAGCAGCGAAACTAAAATGGATTAAATTAATACATTTAGTCGGTCTTGCATAATTCTGTGACTTACATTGCTGTAGAAGATTCCATTATTGATATATGCATGTACATCCAAAACACAAAGCCATTAGAAGAATATACTAAAGTATATTCGCAGTTCGGTGAAGTATTTAGATTTTTTTTAATATGTACTTGAAATCTTTGTGCATGAGGCAAAATTTTCTTCTTTAGTACAAGTGTTATTTTCAGGTTGAGCCATTTAAATTTTTAGGATGTCATATCGCAAAATATGGATTATAGATGTTGGTTTCAAAAAATTACAAAGAATGGTTTGCATGTTGGCATCTGCAACCACCAAATAATTTGCATGTTTCAGAAAGTTACATTTAATGATTTTCATATTTACATGTGCAGCCACCACCAGTGCCACGGGTGAGGAGCAAAATGGATTCTCTTATATTCATGTCAGATTCAGCTAAAGCTGCAAGAACGGAAGGAGCTGCTACAATAAATATGGACCCATTGACCGTGCTGCAATCTGGCAGTGAAAAGAACAGTGAAGAAGTAATGGACAGAGAAATTGATATTCAGGTGGAAGTTGAAAATGTTGAGAGGCCAGTTGACCTCTACAAGGTATGTCTGTTATCTGTATTTTGTAGTTTTTATTTTCTTCTTCGGAGGGGTTTTTATTGCCTAGAAATGGTGTCTATGTCAGGCTTGGATGGACACACTTCTTTGACTGCATAACCTTGCTATACAACATTAGTGATTTATTAATGTTATCATCTACTCATACAGAGATTGATATGGACAAAGAGCGCAATTATAAAGATGAGCCGGGCCGTATGCTATAGTTTTGCAGTTGACCTGGGTTCCGGCTATTATGGCATTTTATTAATTTTTTTTTTCATTGGTTTTTTTTATCAATTATTGAAATTTTAGTTGCTGGGGATCTGAAAAGCATGAATCCTCTTCCTTACCTCACCTTGTATAGACTATAAGAGCATGTCATGTGTAACTTTTTTTTTTTTATTAGGGGTGCAACACGAGGACTTCCTAGGGAGTCATGTGTAACTTATGTTTCAAACATTTATTGTATATTTTCTTCCTCCTGCAGGCTATATTCTCTGATGATTCAGATGATGAAGAGGACAATGCTAGTCTCAACTTGGTGGTGGATCCACAAAAGAAGACTGAAGCTGCTAATACGACTCTAAGTCGTTTAATAGCCGGTGACTTTTTGGAATCATTGGGAAAAGAATTAGGCCTAGAGGTTCCTTCTGATCTTCCTCATTCCAAAAAGGAAGCCAGCCCCCCATTTCCCCAGAAAGAGGTTGTCAATGCCAACAAGAGAGACAATAACACCATACCAGAGGAAAATAAGTTGTCGGTCCCTAATGCTGGACAAGGCAGGCCGTATCATAGTGAGACTGCACAAGCCGTTGGATCACATAAACAGGAGTTTCTTGATGGGAACCCACCTGAAAGTGGTGGCAAGATAACAAAGATTGGTTCTTCTGAGAATAATAGATCAGTCAAAAACAATCTTGAGGCGGCTCAACGGGATACAATGGCTAAATCTCCATTAGGCCAGAATCGAAATTGGAGCTGTGGTTCATCAGAAGATGAAAGGAGTAGAAAGCGTTCTAGGCATCGTCGGCATAGAAGCAGCAATTCAAGTAGTGACACCACTGATTTGTCTGATGATTATCGAGATCGACACCATTCAAGGTCGAAAGGGAGAAAAAAGGGATCCTATCGCGAAAAGAGCAGTAGCAGAAAACACTCAAAGCACCACAAGCATAGAAGCAGGAACTCCCCCAGCATATCTCATCACGGTTCTGAGAAAGGACACGGGGAAGACAAGAGAGAGAAGCGAAAATGGAAAGACTGAGGAAAATTCATTGCTGTTTTTGACCCCCTAATGCTACATTGCAAATTTACACTTTTTAATTTAGAATTGTTTGAGAGATAATCGCTTTCAATTGGAAGTAGCTTACTTTGAAAGTGTATCAACTTTTTGATTGGTACCTATAGGGATGTCAATCTGGATTCTGTCATGTTTAGGTTGTGTATTATTTTAGGCTAAATTATATTTGGGTTTTGTGTCTTGTGCTATTAAACAACAATTCCTACCATCATACATAAAAAATACAATATTTAATTCTTAAAGACAGTGTAACGCAAAAAACAATCGAGCACTCATTTCGTATAGCAACTTATTTTCCTTTTTTTTTTTTAATACCATATTTGAAAATTAATCCGAGTCCACTATTTTTTCAAAAGACTTTGGGAGAATTTCCTCCAAAAACATGACCTCTGAAAAATATAAGCCTACATCAACAATTTTTTAGGGCTAGTAATTGGTAAGAAAATACGAAAAATTACAGTACAAAGATCCCACAAAATTGAAATGTATGGGTTTGGAAGTACCAAAACTACCTTACATCCTATTTGCTATGATTGTTCATAGCATTGAATGGAAACTAAATTACCAAAAACGTAGATTACCACAAGCTAATCAACTGTAAGATTATTCCTCGTGGGACGTTAACAAGTTTACAACAGCATAGATTTATTGATACCTGGCTAAAATAGGACAATGCAACATTATTCCCTAGTTAGCTAATATTCACTTGATTGAACGGGCACCTTCGTGGACTTCATTTCATCCCATGCCGCAAGGAGGGGCGGCCCGACAAAATGGAGGCCCAGAGCAAAACTATTAAGTGAGGTCCCGGGCTATGTAACATAATAATATAATTTTAAGAAAATAAATAAGTGAAAATTGAGGCTAACTCCTCCAGGATGAATGACTCGATTTCGTTAAAGAAATTTGTTTGAGAATATGTCCGTTTTTTATCTTACTAATAAGTACTTAAGTGTCACGCCCTGAATTTTTTTTTCTCTTTTAAAAAAAATATTCGGGCGTGATTAAGGAATAAAACTACACTGAACCTACGATAACCTTCTTTATATTATTATATTCCGCGTACGAGTACATAATCTTCATAAGATCATTTCAAATATTCTTGATACAACATAAAGAGAAATAATAATAACAAACTATATCCATCGTCCTTTCAGCCAATCCTCCGGCCCCAACTTCATTTATCTGAAAAATGTTAAATAGGGATGAACTCACCAACTCAGTAGAATAACGTTTATCAATGACTACCAAAGTTTTTAAAACAATGCATAATATAATTGAACAACGGATAAACGCATGAATATGACAAAGTAATGAATCAAATAAATAAATAAATTTTAGCACATATCGATCATATCAATCTGTCAATTTTCTGGTTCACACATGAACAGCCTCCAGAGAAAACTTTGGATTCTTGCACCCTAGGGAACCTAATGCCCTCCTTACTTTTCTAAAAACACCAATATCGGGAATTATGTGGTGCCACACAGGTTACCACGGCAACCGATTTGCTAACCAGTGAACCCAAGGACTAGTAGAAATCATGTGAATCCTCGTGAGGATCACGCATCTACTAACTTTATGTCCACGATTATGTGCATTCATAGTAATTTCATTAAAATTATAAAATAAAGTCATATCGTAGTCAGACCCAACAATAGATTAAACATTAAATAATAATTAAAAAAATATTTATTGTGTAACATGATTTCATAAAAAAAATTAGGGTCTCGACATAAATAAAAATACGACATTTGCACATTAATAATTTATTTATAAAACCCCAGTTTGATTCCATGATTATAGCAATATAATATTAAATTATTCAATACTAACCTTGAGAATTAAAAAGATAAGGATATCTTTGTACGCATATCTGCTTTCAGTTCTTTCGTGGCTCCTTCAATACCATGATGTTACTATAGCATCTTTACAAGTGGTATGACTTTGTTACGTAATACCTGCTCCTTAGTATCGAAAATCTCCACAAGTTGCTCTTCGTACGTTTCATTTTCTTAAATTCGGACATCCTTTCGATCGATGACGTGAGACGTATCTGGTTCACATTTCCTTAACATGGATACATGAAATACATTATGTATTCCTAATAACTGAGTTGGTAAGACAAGCTGATAAGCTACGTTTCTAACGCATTGTGTTACCTTGAAGGGTCTAATGTATCTGAGAGCTAACTTTTTTTTTTCCCAAATCTAGATATTCCTTTCTTTTTTAAGTGAGGTCCCGTGCAATGTAACATAATAATATAATTTTAACTAAATAAATAAGTAAAAATTGAGGCTAAGTCCTCTTGGGTGAATGACTTGAGTTCGTTAAGGAAATTTATTTGAAAATAAGTCCGTTTTTTTATCTTACTAATAATTACTTAAGTCCACTATTTTTAAAAATTTCAAAAATATCCTTAACAGTATTATTCTGTTCAATAATAAAGACTTTGAAAGTAGTTTTAAATTAATTTCTTATATTAAAAATTATTATCTCTTAATTCACTTTTAAATTGAAATTCAAATTTATATCTCTCTCTCTCTTCTCTCTCTCTCTCTTGTTATAAGAAGATTATTACTCCAGTACAACAAATCTTTCTCTTTAAATATTATTTCTTCCTTCATAGCGTCAAAATCAGTAAAGTTTAGAACATCATCAATAACTATTATATCTTCTACTGCGTTCTGGTCATTTATGAACTTCTATGTCATTGATTTTCCGAAAAAAAAAAAAAAGGTTGAAAAACTTGTTCAATGTGTTATTAGTTTGATCTCTAATTTTATTTTTATTTTTTTGATAAATAGTTTTCAAATTTTTTAAATGTTTCATGTTACTACATTTTTTGTTGACCATGTTACTATTTTTTTTTTCATGTTACTATTTTTTATTGATCATGTTATTATTTTTTTAGTGTTATTTTTTTGGATGTTGAAGAATTAGAAGCTTCTTCTTCTGGTTATGAGTTTGAATACTACAATTTTATTTTCAATTTTGTTTAATGTTCCATAATGCTATTTTTTTTTTTGAACATGTTACTATTTTTGTTAAGTATGTTACTGTTTTTGTTAAGTATGTTACTATTTTTGTTAAACATATTACTATTATTAATTTTTTAAAATATTAATATTGAATGTTACTAATTTTTTATATTTAAATGTTACTATTTGTCTAAGTTTAAATGAAAACTTTTTTTTTGTATTTAAAGAATAATTTTTTTTTTGTATTTAAATGTTACTATTTTTTATTTTTAATGTTACTATATATATGTATAAGAGATATAGTCCTAACCTCTATATAGATATAGATAAATCTAAATAAGTCCATATAAATGGACCAACTTTCAAATTTTCTAATAAATAATACCAACCAAACTAATCCTTATATCCTAATCATTTAGGGTCAGTTATATGTATTTATTTTCGCCATTCATTTCAGTCATACGTTACACGCTCATTTAAGTTAAATTTTTTTTATTATTTTGTTCAATATTAATTTTGAGTAAATAAATATTAAAATATTAACATATAGTAATTTAAAAATTATTTTTCTTGTATTTAAAATGTAAGAGTACTAATTCAGATTTTGCATTCAAGCTTTGGGTTTAAAAAGCCTATTAATTAAGAATGCCTACTCATACTCATTCTGTTTTTCAGTTATTCTGCATGTGTTGTAAAAAAAATAATTAAGCAAAATTGGAACAAAGATTAAAAAAAAAAAAAAAGGCTCCAGTTTAAGATAAGAAATGTATAATATAAGAAAATTAGTAAAAAAAAATTAATTAGCAATTGATTTTAATTGTAATAAATCAAAAGTATTACGTGAAAAGATAACTCATTTTTTCAATATTCACATAAAAATCAAGAAGATTGAAAAACAAAGATAATATAAGAAAAGTTATTCGATTGTGCTGTGTCAGAATTTATTCAATACGACACTCCTATGCTGACCAAGATTTCTTATTAAAATTTTCATTTCAAGTGATGTGGAATAATTTTTGTCATCAAATAAGTGAATCCTATTAATATTCAATGATGAAGATTATATCACATCATTTGAAATAAAAAATTTAATAAAAAAACTTGGTAAGATAACATTACCCATGGACCAGGGTCGACTCGATAAAAATTGGGGCCCTAAGCGAACATGTTAAATAGGGCCCCCTTAATAATTTAATATAAATATTAAAATAATGTATTAATAATTTTATTTAAAAAAATTATAACTTTTTGCCTTGAAAAATAAATATTTACTACAATATGATCCACTTCATTTTTTTGTATCATTTTCACCTTTATTTGTTTCACTTTAAAATAACTTAATGCTCATTATAATTTTTTTTGAACAATTATCTCATTATTTGTGATAATGTTAAATGTGATGGGTTGTTCAACCACTACATCCTCGCTTCAAGTTATTGCCATATTTTTATATTACTAGTAACAAATATATCAATGGCTCTCCTTTTTCAAATTAAATTCATCATTCATTTTCTCTTTTTTATGCTTTTCATATTGCAATTTATATTTTATAATGAACATATTCAAGCAAAAAAATATTTTAAAAATAAAAATCTAAATCATTAACTAACATTACTAAGATCGAAATTGAATGTATTACCTAATTTAGTAAGAATAGAACAATTTGGTTTATTAATGTTATTTTTGGTGAATAATGTCATTATGTTTATTTTAATTGTGCAAATGCCAATAGTTTAAAGGGGACATTAAATGAAGAGAGAGAGAGAGAGAGAGAGGTGTTTTTGTGCAATAGATGACATAAGATTAATGAAGAGAGAGGGTATGTGTTCAGTTATATTTTCTAATTTATTTTGGGTCTACTTGTCTTTTTTGGGGGGTTTTTTTTTGTTTTTTTTTTATTATTTGACCAAAGTATTATTTTACACATATTATGGGGCCCTTTGAAATTAGGAGCCCTAAGGGACTGCCTCAATGACTTTGTTGTTGGCCCGACCCTACCATGGACAAATTAGATGATCTATAACACTATTATGTTGATCAAAATTTTTTTTCAAATTTTTCATTCCAAGCGATGTGATAATTTTGGCCATAAAATAAATTAGTTTTTTTTAATATTTAATGATAAAGATTTTATCACATCACTTAGAATTGTAGTGGTCAGATATTAGTTTTCTCATTCACGGGGCAATTGGGTAATTCAAGGTATTAAATTCATTAAACTTGATGCAAGGGGGAATCTATTGCAAGGTATTGCATCTTTAGAGGTTCCAGACACAAGAGAGGGTGCTGTGAAAATGTCAAAAATAGTTTTTTTTTTGGGGGGGGATGTCATTGTAATTAACCCTATTAAAAATTTATTTTCATATTCATAACCTCTATATTACGAGAAAATATTCAATGCAACGGTGATACAATGTTAACTTTGATGACATAATATCACCGATCAATAATAAAACTTTAAATGGGCAAAGTGAACCTCGCTTGGATAATTATTGACTTACACGGAAAAAGAGTTGATAATTATTTGTTTACATGGACAAATAGTTATTAACTTATGTGAAGTCCATTTTTTATTTGTTTAAATATTATTAATTGGTGATATTATCGTTGTAATGATACCATGTTGTATCACTAATAAATAATATCAAAACAAAAAAGTAAATGGATCCCACGAAAATTAATAACTAACTTTCTAGGTAAGTAAATAATTACCTACTCTTCTTTTATGTAAACAAACAACTACTCGAGCAAGGTTCACCTTATTCACTTAATGTTTTATTATTAATTGGTAATACCACGTCAACATTGTCACAATATTCATAGCCAATATTGTTGTGACCGTTATCTTTCAAATACTAATTGGATGTTTCCCCACCTAAATATTTAATTGATATTAATATATTATTGTAATCAAATAATAATAATTAAATAAAAAAAACATTACTTTTATAATAATGTGGAAAAAATTGGATACAAATAAAGTGAATGATAGGGTGAAGCGCGGATTAGGTCGTTCTTTTAAGACGATTCGTGCCCCTTTATGAAAGAATCACAGTACATAAGACAGTAACACGTCGTCCCTAGGATACAATAGTCCATTCTATTGACTATTGCTTCACTCAAATTTGCATAATCGAATAAATTAAAAGCTTCACACACACTTTTGAATATTATTCAGAAACTTATATAGTAAGAAGATAATTGATATCAGATATATATCTTATACTGAAAACATATATATATATATATATATATATATATATATATATATATACACACAAATGATATATGTGTTTAATAGGCTATAATTACTTCTATATTTAATTGGATAATAACTCAAAAAATATGACTATTGGAATACTAGTTGTTGGAGATTTTTGGCACATCAGTGTGGTTCGTAGATTTTAAAAACTCGTATCTCTTCCACTAGTCTTACCCCTGTGCATGTCAGAGTCCCAAGATCTTAATTCAAAGGTTAGATAACACTAATATATACTCAAGTACTTTTGGATATTTAGTCGATATGAGATTGAGTTCCCACACATAAAAATCACTCTTTTAGTTAAAATATTCTAACAAATAATAATAATAGTGTCACCCCGTGTGATACACAAAATTTGCACCATCTCCTTCCCTCCCCGTCCACCTGTCCTTTTTTTTTTTTATTGTCATTATACCATTTAAAAAAGAGAGAATTTGGGGGTCAGTCTATTTTTTTAAATTTATTTGACAAAAATTCTATTCAAAAAATTTGTTTGGGTTTAAGTCCATTTTGATCTCTATTATCCAAAATATCCCCAATATTTACATATAATTAAAACAGATTTAAAAATTAAAAAATCTTAAATAAAAACTAAAAACTCCTAAATTTTAAAGTTTTTCTAACATTAAAACTATTTTTCTCTCTCTCTCTCATATTTATCTACTAATAAATGTATGTACCTAAAAGTATTATGCAACAAATAAAAGAAACCACCAACAATTTTCAGTGTCGTAAGAACTATAGAACAAATTATTTTATAAAAAATCTTGATAGAAGTTCAAAAATGTATCCTAAACATCAATTTAGGCCCAATGAACAGGACAATAAAAAAAAAAAAAAATTGACCAAAGCACAACACCTCCTATTCAATTTCCTTCCAATGCGACCATAATATTCGTAACAAGTATTTCATCAAACAATTTGGAAGCACCATACGCGCCACAAAATCAAAAAATCCAATTAGCGGCATAGAGGGACAAAGGGTACTGGATTTGCACTTTGAGCACCTTAAGAAGAACGATCAATTAGTTATGATGATTTACTCTACCCTAAAAATTTCAACATCATCAAAATAATACGACATTATGATTACCAAACAAAGAGACAAATTAAGCTATACTTTTAAAGCAAAAATGCTCAAATCCATATAATTTACCAATGTGGAATTCTATTTAACACAATCCCTAAAGCAATTAATTCCAAAATTCATTTTTTCACATAATATAAAACAAATACCCACCTACAAAAAAATTCCCAAGCAATAGGTGGTAGAAATATTGGAAAATGAAGCAAATAATCGATCTAATTTCAAATAATATAGATGTTTTAAGTAGAAAGTTCAAGGCAATATCTGTAGAAGCAGCAATCTTTGAAACACTCAAAAAAAATGCTGAATAATAGTGACTAATAACTTCAAATACGCCTCCCTTTTGTCATCCTCACCACTACTCATCCTTCTTTTTCCCATCATTGCCAAAAAAATAAAACAAACTCAGTATTCATGTTGCTTCATTTTTCCAAAAAATAAAATTCTGACAAATTGTATTATCAAAAACCACTAACTTTGTACAGTTTAGTGATCAATTTAGTGAACATGAACTAAACATAATTATCAATTTAGTGAACATGAACTAAGCATATGATCAATCAAACCCAAATCAGAACAATAAATCACCAATAAAATTATACTAAATCAAGCAAGAACGTAGAGAGAACAAAAGAAAATCATAAGAAGGACAAAGTGTAAAAAATGAAGCACAAAACATTCGTGTGAAGAGAATAACATATATTTTAGGTCTACTAGAAAATGATCATATTTATGAATATGCACTCTATTGCAAACTCGTAACTAATATGCTATCTGTATCATATTGGCTTTAAATTAACATTGAAAAAGAACTACATTTTACTAACCTTCATTTCAATCACATCCACATCCATCTTGAGGAAAATTACATCGGGCATGTGAGCAAATCCAACTAGAATTGGGGACATGGAGTGGCACGGTCAACATAAATATATTAAGCATTTAAGACAAATGAATAATTGATAAGTAACTCTTAGTTGGCTATAAGGACAAAGAAACTCACATAACATTTCTAACAAAAATGGAACTATGTTCAATCAGGCTATTAAGTTCCACCCTATTTTACATTCAAGAATTCAACCCATTCTAGAAAAGAAAATTATAGAAATAGTCATTTAGGGAAGCTTTTTTTCTTTGATGAAAAACAACAAACACTTTATGATCATATACAAAACCCAGTCATCTTAACTTAACCTCAACATCAAACAAACATAAAATTGAACAAACTTAAAACACCAAGTCTAAACAAAAGAATAAAACTGCAGCACATGACAACAAATAATAATAACACGTAATATGAAAATAAAAATTGATATGATTAAAAAAAAAACATGATCAGTAGACCTTACCTTGTCAACATCACCATGCCACCGCCACCATTATTTCTTTGTTTAGCATCCACTGGTATCCTTGAAGATCCTAAAGGCATACGAAAATATTCAATCAAGCATTAACAGGGCGGCCCAACCCTGTTAATGCTTGATTGAATATGTGGGGTCCTTCTAATATTTATTTAATAATAATAATAATATTAAATAGTTATCAAAATATTAAAATATGTTTATTTAAAAATTATTTGTTTTGTTTTTTTTTTTTGAGATACAATATACTAATTAAAATTTAAATTTGGTACATAAAAATTGTGTTAATTGTAGTTAAATTCAGAGATCAAATACAAATGATACATGCTATTTGTTGAAGATAAATAAAAACATAATTGAAAATTAGTTTAACTAGTAGAAAACTGTTGCTGATTAGTTTCAAATAGTGTATTACTTTTACTCATTCTATTTTATAGTTATTATATTCATTATAAACAAATTGATCAAAAAATAGCCTTAAATTTAAGTTATAGAAATATAAAATTATTATTCGTATCTATTATACTATAGACAATTGATTTTAATAATAAACTGCAAAGTGATAATGCATATAATATAAACATCGGGTGAGATAAAAAAATTATGTTGAACTCTAGACCCTAATTTTTTTTTGAAAGAAGGTTTAAAAATTTTACGACAATATTATTTGCACTTGATTTGAGGTCTAAATATATTGAATAAAAAATATATTTTATTTAAAATTATCACTCCCAATTAATTCAATTGTTAAAATATATTGAATATTTAAATTATATACTATTATATAAAATTTTATTTTGAGGTTCCAAAATTTTCTTTTATTTTGAGGCCCTAGGCAATGACTTTAGTGGCCCATTGGTTGGGCCGGGCCTGCCCCGGAGAATGTAACGTATCGGTGTTAAATTTTCTCAATGCCGGTCAGACTTGCTTTTTCCTTGTCCCTTTTTTGACGCTATTTTCTCTTCGAAGTTCGAAGAACCACACCCCATCTTATATTTGTGATTGCACTTGATATAAGAAGACCATTGATCTAATTTAAGGAGCTATTAATTTCGATTATTTCTTTGTTTAAAGTCGTTTTTTTGGATTTTCTGAGGTTTTGTTGAATTGATTTTGCTTACAGAGTCATCTTCAGTAGATGATAAAGTAAGCTATTCAAAGAAAGTGGCATCATCCCATGAGGTATGGCTGTATCCATTATAATGATCTTTTTTCTCTTTGTTATGCATTTTTTCGTTTCTTGGTAATAATGTATGGGGTTGCATTGATGAGATTATTGTGGGTTTTTTGGGGGTTGCCAGTTAGGGGCAAAATCCAGTGAGTTTCGCGGGTCTGCAGTTGTTCATAGCAGTGGGAATCTTTCTATGGCCTGTAATAGTCAAGGTATCAAGTAAACTGGTTCATGGTCATCTTTTACATTTTCTGCTTTTTATTGTCTTAAATTTGCAATTGTGAATTGGTGGTAATCAGCTTTCATCATGCTATGTTGTCTTGGATTTGTCATAAGGCAAGTGATGCTCTCTTTGGTTTCTTTTATCATGTACTTAATATTAACAGCCCAAGCCATGACAAAAATGGTGCTTTGTAATCTAACTCTAGAGTAGTGACAAGCATTTTGGTTTTTTTTGTTTAAAAAAAATTTGCTCTTTTTCTACAAGAGATTATCGTTTGGGTTTAACCTTTTTGCCTGCACTTGATTCCCACTTTTTGGAACATCGGCAATCTTTTTTATGAATTGCATTTCAATTTCAAACTCATTCATAATATTGTATTTAGGATAAATTATACATTTTATACCCCTAGATGTGAGTTCCTTTTTTTCCCTTTTGGTGTCTAACGGAACATGTCAATAAACGAGTATATACAGTTTTAGGCATATTCCTTGCACATTCTGTTTGGTTGTAGCTGGCCTGTTTTGTTTGAGGTTTTGTATGTTTTGTTTGTTGATTTGGTTAATCCTAAATGACATTTGCTTGAACAATGCAGCTATTCAAGCGGTTTTGGCCAGTGATAAAGAGACAGTAACTTCTGGTGATTCAAAAGGAAGGATTCTGCGGAAAAAATTGAACAAAGTGGTTCTGGCCTATAGTGGTGGCTTAGATACCTCAGTCATTGTACCTTGGCTGAGGTACATCACTTGCTGTGTTGATCTGTGTAACAACTGCAATTGCAAATATATTATCTTCCGTTATCAATAATAATTGAAGATATGAGGTTATGGTCCATCTGTGTTAAATAGTGATGTATATGGGTATCTATTAACTGACTGGATTCAGAAATTAACTCATATTTGTGTATCAACAGTATATACCACAGTTTATTCACCCTGTTCATGAATACTCATTTTGCCCCTTGCAGGGAGAATTATGGCTGTGATGTTGTATGCTTCACTGCAGATGTCGGTCAAGTATGTTACTAGTAGACAAACCTCTATACTTCCACTCCTTTGTTAACTTATGTTTTGTGTTGTGTTAAAATAACAACTCATTAAGGGTGAATTACTTTGTTGATACGGAACATAACGAATGCATGAGGAACTTTCTTGAGTATTTATTCTAACCTATGCGCTTCATACCGATAATTGTAAAGGGCATGAAGGAATTGGAAGGTTTGGAAGAAAAGGCCAAGGCCAGTGGGGCTTCTGAGCTAGTGGTGAAGGATTTGAAGGAAGAATTTGTGAGGGATTTCATATTTCCTTGTTTGCGAGCTGGTGCAGTCTACGAAAGGAAGTACTTGCTGGGGACCTCAATGGCCCGTCCTGTCATTGCAAAGGTGAAGTACAAAGATTAAATTAAGAAGAGGCATGGATATTGGTATCATGTAACTGATGTCATTATTACTTACATATCAGAATTGAGCCTTTTCAACTTTCCCTTTTCACTGTTGCCTGCAATGTATACTGTGCATGCATGTGATTAAATTTTGGGCAAGGCCTTTTGACTTAAATGCCTTTTATTATTGCCCTTGAAGGCAATTGAGAAAGCTTTTCTTTATTTGAAGTTGATTAGAAGATATTGTATAGATGCATTCTGAATATACTCTACTTTTGTCTTAGCTCATAGGCTTAATTTTAGCCTCCCTTTTTCTTTATACTCTAGAACGGGCTACACCTTGCTGATTGTTTACTTGTACCTTAATGTATATAATTTTATGAGTGATCTAATGTCCATAGATTGTTTACTTGTACCCTTTTCACTGTTGCCTGCAAGGGATTGCCACTTATGTACAGAGGAGGCATAGAAAAAAAGAACTGTCTAAAACAGACCATGAACCTAGAAACAGGAGTGCTTGAAATTCAAATATAAATCAGACTAAATACATGGTTGACTTGGATGAGATATGTTACATCGTGGAAGTATGTGAATAAATATAATAATATCTAAGGACTGTAAAAAACTGACGATTGCTTGCATCTCTTCGGGAGGTGTCCCCAAAGTAGGTCTCATCCTCAATGCTTTGTTTCACAGAGTGAACAGTCTAGCATATCTTCTGATTATTATAGTCATCAATGAGTAAAAGCAAATATATATTGTTTGATGGGCCCTCTTAATGTTGTTTGGCTCTTTATAATCTCTGTTTTGGTTGTCTTGTATTAGTTTTACACTCACAAGGTTTGTTGACAAGACAGGCCATGGTTGATGTTGCCAGAGAAGTTGGAGCAGATGCTGTTTCTCATGGATGCACAGGAAAGGGAAACGATCAGGCATGCTTTGAGATTTTGTTCTTATTATTCTGACACCTCTTGATAAGATTCTCAATTCTTTGACTATGTGATATTCCTGCTCGTATATTTCTCTCTGACCACACTGACCTGCTTCTTTGTCTATAGGTCCGTTTTGAGCTCACTTTCTTTGCTCTAAATCCTGAACTCAGTGTTGTGGCTCCTTGGAGGGAATGGGAAATAAGAGGCAGAGAAGATGCCATTGAATATGCTAAGAAACATAATGTGCCCGTCCCAGTGACGAAAAAATCCATCTATAGTCGAGACAGGAACCTATGGCACCTCAGTCATGAGGTAATTCTATCCTACTTATTTTGGGAGTTTGGATGCTTATGATTCTACTGCATTATTTTGTCATGGGGAATCCTCCCCCCTTCTCTTTCTCTTTTCCCTTTCTACTTCCTTTTTACTTCTTTTCCCCTCTGCTCTAGGCTTGCAGTTAAATTATCATGCATGAAGATCTTAGATGATGTTATTTCTTGGTGTATCTTGAGTGAGGAACCTTTACAGTAATTAAAGTTGTTCATATAGACTGATGCAGAAAATCAATTGTGCCTTTATTTATCAAGGTCAAACTTTTAGCGTAACCTTAATGGGTTTTCTGTTACAGTCGCATGTACAACCTTTCCAATGAGATCTCCTGAGAGACCAGTGTGTTTGATGTACTCTTAATTGTGTCTGCATGGACATGCCATTCATCACCAGCTAGCAAATTTTATGATTTCAGGGACCAAACACATTTTATTGTCTTGTTAGTTTTTGGCCATGGCTTATGTATTTTCCATTGCTTGAGCAGGATAACTGTCACAAACACTGGCATCATTTACATGCGGTGCCAATATCTGTCTTTCTATTTCCCCAGTAAATCTTCCATTTTGACACCCACTGCCTTGGCTAGAATTTTTCCTGTAGAAAGAATTTGGCATATTGGAGGACTAATGAAATTGCCAAAAATGAAGAACATGACACAAGAGTAACGATTTCCTTTTTCGTTAACTTTTTCATGCTGTATTCTGGTGATGTATTTGAGTGTGCTTCATTTTTATCCTCATAAAGTTGCAAAATCATCTACCTTCTATGTGATTCAACTTTATGTAGGTCCACATGTCACTTTCCAGCGTAATTCTTCTCCAGGCCTCAATATTTTGATACAAAACAGAAGGAACCTTCAAGCTTGCATTCACTTGTTGGTTCTTCACTAAATATTGAGGTTTATAAATTGTGTATCGCAACTATCTTGAGGTTTATGACTCCTCAGCAATTTTTGACTCAGATAGAGACCTTCACTGTTTAGAGGGTAAAATGGCAAGAAATGTAAAATTAGTTGACGATTATTATGTCAAACTTGTTTGTATGAGAATTAGGAAAAAGATTGGACAGATATTAGTTTAGTGTTGATTTGTTCAGATTTTCTTCTTAAAGAAGTTGATAAACTGTGTCTGTTGATTTATTTTTAGGATATGGAGTTCAGGTATGTTAGTTTTTAGTCCCCATTCAGATCAAAATTCTTTTGCTCAGACTGATATATGGAGAAACGTAAATCTTTGGAACTTTTCTGATTGAATTAATACTCTATTTAGTCATTCCAATTTTTTTGTCAAATTGAACTTATTGTTTTCTTGCCTGCTTATTTCTTGCTGATACGTGACATTTAAGGGAGACATTCTGGAAGACCCTGCAAATGAGCCAAAGAAGGATATGTACATGATGACTGTTGACCCAGAAAAAGCACCTGATAAACCTGAGTAAGTTTCCTTGTTTAATTTCTATAACCCTCTCTCTATGCCTGGTAGTAAATCTCTCAGTTTTACCTGATTGCATTTCCTTTCCCATCATTCAATATCGATGCAGATACATAGAAATTGGGATAGTTTCAGGAATCCCTGTTTCAGTCAATGGAGAGGAGCTCTCCCCTGCATCTCTTCTTGCTGAGCTAAACGAAATTGGTGGGAGACATGGAATTGGACGTGTGGACATGGTTGAAAATCGCCTTGTTGGAATGAAAAGCCGTGGAGTTTATGAAACTCCTGGTGGAACTATCCTCTTCACTGCTGTACAAGAGCTCGAGTCTCTAACTATTGATCGCGAAGGAATCCAGGAAAAAGATAGACTTGCCCTCAAATATGCCGAGCTAGTGTATGCAGGCAGGTGGTTTGACCCACTTCGTCAGTCCATGGACGCTTTCATGGAGGAGATCACAAAAACTACCACCGGAACAGTAACTATCAAATTGTACAAAGGATCTGTTACTGTAGTGGGTCGACAAAGCCCCTACAGCCTGTACAGACAAGATATCTCATCATTTGAGAGTGGACAAATATATGATCAAGCTGATGCTGCTGGATTCATAAGGCTTTATGGACTGCCAATGAGGGTTCGAGCAATGCTTGAGAACGGTCTTTGATAACTTTATGGCTGGACATGTGACGTTACAGTTGTCGCTTTTGGGTTAGTTAATGACAGGCAGCTATTTTTTCTAACAAGGCAGTCTTTATTTTGAAACTAAGAAGATACTGTTCTTCGAAAGTGTATTTGTTTTCAGCTGATTACTCCTTGTAACTTTCTAAATCTCTTTTCTATGGCAAAGCTTGCCACCCATTGAGGCTCCAGTCATAGTCCATGGACAGTAGCTTTCCCTCTGCAGGGGCCTTGTGCAGTAAATTCCCTATGGACGGTTTGTCCGTCTTCGTAAGTAAGCTTTCGGAAAGAGGGGTAGCCTTGTGTATAACCATAGTATTTCTGGTTGAACCTGTCCACTAATAGAAAAAAAGAAAGAAAACAAAATATGCAGTAATAGGGTAGATAATTGGAGTTAGATGTGTCAAAATATAAGACGATTTGTTAACATGATACGAAATTAAAGGATTTGAATCTTCTTTAAAACACCCATTTTTTAAACGAGTGGACATGACATGACATAACACGATTAATAAATGAATTGAGTATGAATGAAGATAATAAAAAAAATACACAACATGACTCATTTATATATCGATTATATATGATTTATACATGACACAAAAGCGATATGACACGACTCATTCGATATGAATTAATAAATAAATTGGATATGAGTAGACTATTTTTTTATACGAACTCGTTAAGTTCTAACATAAATCTGTCTCATCCGACATGATTGATAGTTTTAGAGTTGTCACTCATCAATTAAAATGGGGTGATGAGTCACGGAATGTTTGGTCTTGAAATTTGATTTTGGCATTGAAAGTGATTAGTAATATTCACTAAGCCTTAGATTATGAATTTAAGGGGTCAATTGAGTAAGGGACGAAAGTCCGACGAAAGACTATGCTACAATAAAAAAAAATAAAGGACTATGCTTAAATAAAAAAAAGGTACGTTAAGAGAACCTATCACAACACCCATTTAAAAACCATTGTGGCATTCCTCAACCCATCCCACAAAAATTGAGTTTGATTTTGAAAAGGGCAGATGTCCTATGATATCAATTCTGTGCCTAACTTATGAGAGACATGAGTGATGGGACACTTCTGGAAGAGCGTTAGATGGATGACATGTGTTTTTGACGCCGAGGTACATCCTTGTCTTTGGCGAGACCATGTGTCCTTGACACCAAGACCCCTACTCTGATTGACAAGTTCTTCTACGCCAAGGCATATGCCCTCGGCTCTGAGGATACCTTCGCTTCGGGAGGGAAGTGTCAGGTGTCCTCAGCCCTGAGGGAACTCACAAACTCCGATCTTGCCACGATTCTTCGGCTTCTGGATAGGCTATTGATTGACAACTAAATAGTCTAAACTAGGCTAGGAATTATGAAGGCACTCTGCACAATGAAGTCAAAATAGCAGGACGAACTAGACACTCAACCAGGGGAAGTCAGACGTGTGGCATAGAATGCAGGATGAGGGGTAAAAATATAAAACTACCCCTGCTGACATACGGCTATTTCAGACAAATATTTAATGAATCCCTATATGATGAGACATCCATAGTGGCTTGAGAAGCCGAGGATAAGGGGCATTAAATGCCTTGGGCTCCTAGCATTTAAAGCCTCTACAGTGAAGAAAGAGAATTAACTGCTCGAGGGCCTGAGCAATTAATACTGGGACATTTCCAGCGTAAAATAGGAGGCACATTGCCCCATCTCTGAAAGCTACCTATTGCCTAGACTACCAGTAATGATGAGTCTTTGAAGGTATAAATAGTTCTTAAAAACACATTGTAAAGGTACGCAAAATCACCTCTCGAGAGCCATACAATGTTTTCTTCTTTCCCTCTCTAAAACAACTGACTTAATCATCGGAGGGGATAAGCCGAAAAATACTCTGGTGCTTTTCTAACTTGTTTCTTTGTGCGCCAGGAACATCTTGCGGCCCACTGGAGTCGGTTGGACGTCCCCTGGAACAATTCATCACCACTTCTTAGGCCCCCCTTTCGCCTTCTCAATTCATTCCTTGCTGCGGGATCCGCCACATCCATGATCGAATTCACCACGGGAGAGATCTGTTCACCTTTCATCCATTGTGCGAAAATCATCCCACACAATCTGGCACCGTCTGTGGGAAATGACTAGATTTTTCGAAGAATAGTGACCATGGTGAATACTCGACAAAAGGGGAAGGGTCTCCAACAAAGGTATCTTGATTTACCAGTTCCATCTTTGTCAAGAACGGGGGACCATGTCGAAAGTGCCAACAAAGGGCTTTTCGTTCATTCAAAGGAGCAAACCTGTCAAACTAGTATAAGTATGGGGTCTAGAGGGTCTGCCCCATTGGCCTGTCAACTGGCGGAGGTGATTAAAAAAAAGTTTGGGGATCGGTTAGGGCAGTTGGAGAAGGACAACGTGAATGTCCTCAGCTGTCTCGACTAATTTGCGACCTCCGGCAGAATGTCCCGAAACTCTCTACAGCACTGGGATCCTTTCGTCAGGGAGGTGGAGCTTGAGGATCTGAGAAATCACTTGAACAGCAGGGCAGGAAGCTCCAGGGCTCCAAAGCGCCCAAGGGCCAAGGGACAGCTCCCAGAGGTTCCAGCTAAATGGGCTAGGTTGTTGGTTTGGGACGACCTCTGTTGGGGACTGTTCGGGAGAGGGGGCGTGGAGGAGTCTGAGGAGGGGTCGATCCTCTCCGTCCGACACCTAGGGACTGGGGACCATGCTGTCTGTCGTCGAGTACATAAAGACGTGCCACCCGAACAAGGGGAGGACCTTAGAGCTCGGTTGAATTCTAAGAGAAGGGATAAAACATCGTAGGAAGATGATACCGACAACAAATCCATCCAACTACCTTTCACAAGAAATATTATGGAGATAGAGGTACCAAAGAAGTTTACGGTACCAAGGTTCAAAATGTATGGCGGACAATTTGACCCTGAAGCCCATCTCAGACAGTACAAGCAGATGATGTCTCTATATCACTCAAACCACCGGCTGCTGTGCCGAGTATTCTTTATGAGCCTTAGGGATTCGACCATAAAATAGTTTGAGACTCTTTCGCCCAACAATATAGGGTCATGGAAGGAGCTGACCAGACAGTTCTCCGTCCGGTTCATCAAGGGGAGTAGGCAACCCCTCCTAACGCTAAGGTGGAAGGAAGGAGAAACCCTCTGTCAGTATGCCACTCGCTACTGGGAAGAGGTAAATGAGGTGGAGGGATGTTTTGAAGTTATGCGGCTGCCTCCTTTAGACTCAGCCTCTCTAGGGGACACCGATCTCTATCGATCCCTCACCAAGAAGACACCAGCAGATATGGGCGAGTCGATGACCCGAATAAATAAGTACTCCCGGATCGAAGACGAGGTAGTAGGGGGTAAAGGAAAAACCCTCACCCTTATGTAGGAAAAAGAGAAGGAGGGCACCCTTTCCCGGAAGGGGTTGGTACCTTTGGGAATTCCTTCAACGGAGTTCACATAGTGTTCAAGGAGCCCATCTACAAACTACTCCATAAAATTAAGAAGGAACCATTCTTCAAATGGTCGCCCAAGATTCAGGGTGATCCGTCCACCTGAAACCAGAAGGTAAAATGCTCATATCATCAGGATTACGAGCATCTCACCAAAGATTGTAGGGTTTACAAGTCTTTCCTGGAGAAACTAGTCCAGGATGGGTATTTAAAGGAATACATCGAGATGGCATCCAAGGAGGGTCACGATGCCAATAATTCGACCACCATCCAAGGCAATGTAATTGACGCTATCTATGTCTGCCCGCTAGAGCGTTCGACATCCAAAACCATACAATCTAATCTCAAAAGGGTGGCATTCACAACGAAGGTGGACGAGGCAGATGGGGGCCAGCCGAGCAAGAGGCCCTGAACTAGTGAGGCAAGCATCACTTTTTTCGATCTTGCAGGCATGGCCCTCCCCCATGGGGATGCCTTGATCCTGACATTGATGATCGACAATTTTGATGTGAAGAGAGTCTTGGTGGACTACAGAAGTTCTTTCAAGGTGATGTACTTTGAAGTCTTAAAACATATGAGACTCGGTACTCAGGACCTTACCAAAGTAAAGACACCCCTTGTCAGGCTCAACGGTTCATTTTCCCTACCCTTGGGCAAAATCACGTTACCAGTTACCACTAGGCCCATCACTATCATCATGGGACGGGTCTGGTTGCATGCCCTAGGGGTTGTGCATTTCACCTATCACCAAAAATTAAAGTTCCTCCCCCCCCCTGCGAAGGGAGTGAAAGAGATCTGTAGGGACCAAGTGTTTGCCAAAAACTGTTTCTATTCTACAATAAGGACAGGGTTCGCCTCCAGAGAGAAAGAACGAGCCCCGGAAGAGATCTTGAACAAATAGCAATTACAGTCCGGGTGTTTAGGAGTAGATGACCCCTGGATGGATCCAGCAGATCGCTCAGTGGAGGATCTCCGGAAGGTACTCCTAGTGGACGGAGACGAGGAAAAATACTTCTTGATTGGCTCCACCATGCCCCCAGCCGAGTAGGAAGAGGTGACCAACTTTTTGAGGCAGAATGCAGATGTGTTTTGCTTGGAACGTAATGGAAATGAAGGGTGTGAGTCCCGAAGTGATAACCTGTAAACTTCATGTCGATCCCACTCACAAGTCGATAAAGCAGAAACCACGACGCATGACATCGCATCACGCCCAAGCAGTGAACAAGGAGGTGGATAGGCTCCTAGAGGCCAACACCATCCGGGAGGTTCAGTTCCCAGAATGGTTGTCAAACATGGTTTGTGCAAAGAAGAAGGAAGGGAAGTGGCACGTTTGCGTGGACTTCACTAACCTGAACAAGGCTTACCCAAAAGATGACTTTCCTCTTCCAAAGGTGGATCAGCTGGTGGATGCCACGACAGGCCACCAGCGCATGGCCTTCCTAGATGCCAGGGCAGGCTATCATCAAATTCCCCTCCATCTACCTGACCAAGAAAAGACTGCCTTCATCACACTAAGAGGAGTTTATTGTTACAAGATTATGCCATTCGGACTGAAGAATGCCAGAGCCATTTATTAAAGGCTTATGAATCAGATGTTCGAATGGCAGATTGGGGACACAATGGAGGTTTACATTGAGGACATGTTGGTGAAGAGTAAGAGAAGTGAAGATCACTTAACCAACCTGGATGACACCTTCTCGACCCTCCGAAAATACG